ACTAACTGTGTTGTTCAAACTCTTCTCAGGGAGAAGCTGGGAGTTTGGGATTCCTACCCAATTGTATGGCATTTTTGCCTGGGGTGAGATTTATGACAAGAGTTTGTCTCATCATTTCCTACCAATTTTGATGTATTTTCTTTTGTCTAATACTCAGGAATCATTCAACTAGTTTATGGATTTTTCTCAGAGGAAAGTTCCATGCATAGCTCTACATTCAATGTGTCCATGGTAGGAGGAAAATGGCCTTCTATGTTGCCATTTTGGTCAAGAATAAAACAAAACAAAATAGAAAAAGAAAACCCTCTTTGCTTTCTTTATTAATTTACTTTTCATGATTTCTTATTTATTTTTAATTATTTTTGTTTTATTTTTATTTATTTAAATTTATAAATCATGTTTATTCTATTAGAGTTGTCTCACTTTTCCCCCCTTTACCTCCCTTCATCCATCCCACCCCCACCCCCCACTCCCACAGTCAATTCCCACTCTGTTCATGTCCATGGGTCATTCACACATGTTCTTTGTCTAGTCCCTTCCCCTTCTTTCCACCATTGTCCTCTTTCCCCATCCCCTCTGGTCACTTTCAACCTGCTCCGTGTTTCCATGCCTGTGGTTTATTTTGTTCGTTAGTTTATTTTGTTGAATACAGTCCACTTACAGGCGAGATCACATGGTATTTGTCTCTCATCAACTGGCTTATTTCACTTAGCATAATGCTCTCGAGTTCCATCCATGCTGTCGCAAAAGTTAAGAGATCCATCTCTCTCTCTCTCTCTCTCTCTCTCCCCCCCTCCCCCCTCCCTCCCCCTTTCTTTCTTTCTTAAATTCAGATTGATTTTATTTTTTTAAACGTTGAAGTTAATTATAAAATAGTAAAAAATTTAAAACCATTATAAAGTCTCCACAATTAAACCAAGATGACACCAGCACAGAAATAATCAAGTTGATCAATGAAGTAGAATGAGCATTCTAGACAAACGTATATGTCTAACAACACAATGTATGATTAAGTTGATATTTCAAATCAATGCGGAAAATAAGGCTTATTCAACAAATAAGGTGCATGGACCACTATTACTTGAAATAAAATAAATATAGAGGCCTATTTCACACATTATTAAAGAAATATTAAGGTGAATAAAAAATCAGTATGTGAATCTAAGAAGTTTTAGGAGAAAATACAAACTAATGTTTTTCTTACCCTGAAGTAAAATATGCAACCCCAGAACCTATAAAGTAAAATATTAACAATATGACTATAGTAAATATTTAAGACTGTGCAGTAAGATACATATAAAAATAGTAAAAGGACAAGTAATAGAATAGGAAAGTATTTGCAACGCATTGTAAAAAGGGTTAATTTTTTTTTTTTTTAGGGAAAAAATTCTACAAACATTTAATCAAAAACTGGATAAAGAATACCAAAAAGTTTTTAAAGCTTTTTAAAAATAATAGAAATAGGCAAAAAATATACAAAAACAGGTTTAGCTTCAACAATAATAAAAGGACAATTAAAACAACATCATTTTCACAATCAGATTAATACATATCAAAAAATATTGGCTATATCAAGTATTTGCAACTGTGAAAGGAACTGGGTATTCATAGACTCTTTTTCTTCATCTTAAAGCAGTCCCTATGGCATATTTGCAGTGCTGGTTTGGTGGAGGTGTGTTCTTTTAGCCTTCTTTGTCTGGGAAACTCCTTATTTCACCTTCCATTTTAATTGAGAGCCTTGCTTGGTGGAGCAGTTTTGGTTGAAGGCCTTAGCTTTTCATGACTTGGAATATTTCTTGCCATTCCCTTCCGGCTTGCAGTGTTTCTGTTGAGAAGTCAGTTGCTAGCCCTATTGGGGCTCCCTTATATGTTACTACCACTTTCTCCCTTGCTGACTTTAGGATTCTCTGTTTGTCTTTGATATTTGCATTTTAATGATCATGTGTCTTGGAGTAGGCCTCATTGTGTTCCTCTTGAGTGGGACCCACTGTACTTCCTGGACTTGTGTGACTTTTTCTCTCCTCCAATGAGGGAAGTTTTCCATCATGACTTTTTCAAATAGGTTCTCTGTCCCTTCCTCATCCTCTTCTCCTTCCAATGTCCCTATTATAAGGATATTATTATGTTTTAGGTTGTCCTGCATTTCCCTAAATGCCTCTTCATGCTTTTTGAGTCTTTTTTCATTGTCTTGCTCTTTCGGGAGCTTTTTTCTACCTTGTCCTCCAGCTTGATGATTCGGTCCTCAGCTTCATCTAGGCTGCTTTGGATTCCTTCTACTATGTTCTTCAATTCAGCAATTGTATTCTTCATTTCCTCTTGTCTCTTATTGATAGCTTCTATGTCCTTTTTCATGCTGATATAGTTTGCATTAAGTTCCTTGTAGTTTCCCTGTAGTTGTTGGTAATTCTCTCTGAGCTCACTGAGTTCATTGAGCTTCTTTGAACCACTGTTTGGAACTAAATATCTGATAGATTACTTGCCTCTGTTTCATTTACTTCTCTTTTTGGGGATTCCTCCTTTCCTTTCGAGTGGGGGGTGTTTCTTTGTCTTCCCGTTATTTATGAGACTCTTCTTTTTTGCTTCTGCTTCCTAAATTGATCTGTCTTGATTTCCTGACTTTGTGGTGTGAACTTCTATGGTGGGAGACTCCTGTTTTTACTTTCTAGATCTGCCTCTGATGATGTCAGATGTTGACCCTGTCCGACCTTAGGCAATCTGTTCAAGACTTCCAGTAATTTACTGTTTGTGGCTGTCTCCTTCAGCTGTTAGTCTAGTCACTCTGTAGTCAGTAGGCCACCTTGGACAGCTCAGAGCAGGGCCGAGTCCCTCCTGAGGGTAGGGTTATTGGGTCCTCTCACACTTCTGTTGTATGGGAATGGAGTCAGCACCAGGATCCTACTAGCTACTCTCTTCATTCTCTCCCTAAAGCCTCTGTCCCCTTTCTCTCCTCAAGTGTCTCCAGCACTCTCTGTGCCTCCTTTAGCCAGGAATCTGCTATCTGTGGCTGCCATTTTACACTTAGCAGGTGGCTTAGACAGCACAGGATGGGGTGAAATCCCACCTGGGGGTGAGGCTATTGGGTCCTCTGACACTGCTGCCGCTCAGGGAGAGTGGTCTCTGTCTGAGTAAGATGGCTGCTGCTGCACAGGTAATGAGTCAGCACCCAGAACCCACCGGCTACTCTCTCAGTTCTCTCCCAAAACCTCCCTTAATCTCTCCTCAGGTAACTCTGGTCCACTCTGCCCCCACCTTAGCCTGAGACCAGGGTAAATCGCTGCAAATAAAAATTATGCGTTGGCCCTTTAAATGGACCTTTGCGTCTCCAGCCTTCTGTCTCTGGCAGAGAGCAACCCTGCCGCTTTTGCATCTGGCTGTTTTTTGTGTGCTTTTGGGGCTCTGGGGCTGTTGGCTAGAGATCCCCACTTTTGGTTTCGACCCCGCTCTTTTCAGGGGGATCCAACTCGCCGTTTCAATATCCTTCTGGTGCTACTGCCCGTGGGTGCCCCGCCCACCTTCTCAAGTCTCTACCACACTCCTTACCAGTTAGATTGCGCTAAAGCTGATTCTTCTGTCTCTGAGGTTATAAGGCTCCTCTCTCACTATTGTTCAGTTGTTTGTTCTAGGTGATTTCTCCAGAATTTAGTTGTAATTCCAGGTGGGTCCTGGGCAGACGTCAGTGTGACTTCCATTCACGCCTCTGCCATCTTGCTTCTCCCTTATGATTTGATATTTAAAAATAATTATATAACAAGTTCATGCAATAAATGTTATCAAATTCTATTCTAGGTGCTGGTGATACAAGAGTAAACTGAATAGAAAAGAAATCCTTGGACTATACATTTTAGTAGGAAGGAGAAAAAAATAAATCACTGTGTTATATATCTTATAGTTTAAGGGCTTGAAGACAATCAGGTAAATTTGATCAAGAGTGAGAAGTGAGAGTGCTCTTTTATGAAAGTTCTTTAGGGAAAGTCCTTCTGGTAAGAAATCATTTGAGTGCCAACTTAGAGAATGCCAGGGAGTGATTTATGTGCATGTATGGAGTAAAAAGGGAGAGAATTCCAGGTGTCTAGAGAAGCAAGCAAAGACCTTGATACGCTTCTTTCCTGATTTTTCTAAATCTGAATATGCAGGAATTTCACCCAATAGTTGAAGAATCTCTGGAAGGCTCTTCATCTGGCTACTCTGATTGACACATGGGTTTCGGAAACAGATTCGTGTAGCTCCTAGTATAACCTTTATTATTTAACTTTGAACACTAGGACTGAGGAGACCAGGAGAAAATATTTATGTTCTCTTGATTTTTGCTGATGGCAAAAGAAAAAGAAGTGATACATTTGCAGTGTCTTTATAATCTAAAAATCACTGTTAAGGGATATAATCATTTTATTCATGGTCAAATTTTTAATCATCATTTATATATTTTTTGTATAGTTGAGATACTATGCAAATAGAACCTAGGGAAACATTGTTTTGTTTTACTTTGTACATCTTTTTGTATAGAAAAAGAATAGCAAATACATGCTGGAGAATGGAAGTTGAGTGAGTGAAATAGGCTGAGGCATGAAGGAGTAAATGGTGGAGACTGTGGCAAATTGGAGAATTTATGCCTTGTTTAAAGAGAAGAGATATTATTTAACTCTGATTGTTGCTATGTGAGAATGTGGGCCTAATATTTTACTTATTTTCTGACTTTTCAAGAAAAGCCTGAAATTTACATTTCTATGCTATTTTCAAATTTTTAAATGTTATAAACTAAATAAAAACATTTCAACACTCTTCAGTTCAGACAAAATATTCATACAGGTATCTGTCCCATGAGCCACCATTTTGCAACATTCTGGGGTATAACACCATAATTAATTTTTACTGCCTCCTTCAAGGGATAGTGTAGGTTGTAAAGGTGACAAAATGCTGCAAGGTTTTTTTGGTTCTAAACACACTATTGTACCACTGCTCTCCTTGGATGGCGGTGAATATGTCTCTCCTTCTTGTTTTAGGGTATGGTCAGACAGGTCCACTGTCTCAGCGAGCTGGTTATGATGCTGTGGCCTCTGCTGTTTCTGGTCTAATGCACATCACAGGGCCTGAGGTAGGTACCCTTCTCTAGACTTCTCATAATTTTTCGCACCAGGTATTCCAAAGGGATTTTCATCTTTACTCAGTTTATTAACTAGGCTTAAGCTTGAGTTAATTTTAGAAAGAACCCAGGCAAAGTGAACGACTTATTAAAAATGTCAGTGTGGCCTAAGTGTCAATATGGCCTCATAGAAAATAACATTCTTTTTTAACAAATAACAATAGAGTGGTAAACACATTTTCTATATGTCTTTTGTTATTCAAGCTTAACATAAGCACCTTCATGTGATTTAGAAATATTGCTTCTGTGAAGTAGAATGGCTGACTATTCTAGTCCACAGACATCCATTTCTACCAGAGTGTCTTCATTTGGCATATGTAGATACTGGAGTGATTCTTTTTTTCTTCCTGGAATAATATAGGTGATTATGTATTTTAAAATTTATTACTAATGTCTCAGGTATAGTTGTGTCTGGTTGTTACACGCATTAGATTCTGACAATGAAAGAATTACTTGATTTTATAATAATCCCTCGCCACTGATGATGGGTTGGGAAGTTCCTGAAAAGTATATAGGTGGCCAAAATGTGGTTGGTTAGACCAGACTCTTAGAAAATGCGCACTTGGGGAAAATAACAAGAAAGTAATTACATAAAGTTAAAAAAAAAGTGTGTGAAAGACTAATGAATAAAAATACTAAAAGATACCCATTTCCAAAACAAATGAGATTGCTAGTTTTAAAAAACTCTTTGTAGTAGGTGTTTCTTCCCTGAATTACTTTCTTCAGTTAGTTCTTCAGGAAATATTGCTGCAGTGTTAGGATAAATAGGGAGAATGACTTCAAGTTTTAGTTTTTACAGTCTTTATTTCTTTCTGTTAATTTTAAAGCAGGCATGGGGATTTTAGTGTCTTGAAATATAAGGTCTTTTGTACTCTCTTTCTCTGTTTATTTTCACAAGTCTTAGAAAAAAGCATGTGTGTCCTTTCCTGAAAATACTTAATTGCACTGTTTTTCTTTCTGTCCATTGAGGGAATGGAATATGGACAGATCTTCCACTTCTTAATTCATTGACTGAAAGAATGGTTATTGCACATATTCCTTCTGTATGCTGGGAAATGTGACAGGTATTGGGGATTAAGCAGACAATAGGGCAGGCATGGTCCTTAAGTGGAGAAAACAAACATTAATAGGAAATAAACATTAAATTCAAATAAAAAGAGCTTTGAGAAAGAGTACAGGGTGCTATAATATATAGGTATAACAGTGTGTTTACTGGCTACCTAAAAGTCTCTCATCTTTAAAAAAACACAGTTGGTAGTATACTTTTTCAATTTCTTAAATCCCGTAAAAGTGATGTATAATTTACATACAGTAAATGAAAAATCTTAAGAGTACGGTTCAATGATGTTTTACAAATATGCACACATGGATAAATATCATCAGTTGAAGATATAGCTTATTTCCATCACCCCCAAAAGTTCCTTTATACCTCTCTCCCAGCAATACCACCTCCGGTTAGAGATAACTACTATTTTGCACTATTTTGACTTCTACTACTATAGACTAGTTTTCCTATTGTTGAACTTCTATAAATAGAGTTCTATAATATGTACTTTTTAAAAAAAGATTTATTTATTTTTAGAGAGAGGGGAAGGGAGGGAGAAAGAGAGAGAGAGAAACATCAATGTGAGAGAGAAACATTGATTGGCTGCCTCTCATATGCTCTCCAAGTGGGAACTGAACCCATAGCCCAGGCATGTGCCCTGACTAGGGATAGAACTGGTGACTCTGTTTTGCAAAACAGTGCCCAACCAACTGAGCCACACCAGTTAGGGCTATAGTATATACTCTTTTATGTATGGCTTTTTTTAGTCAACATAATGTTTTTGAGATTCATTCAATTATTATGTATATCAGTGGTGTTTAATTGCTCTGTATTGTTCCATTGTATGAATATACCACAGTTTATCCATTGTTTTGTTAATCAACATTTGGGCTATTTCCAATTTTTGTCTTCTATGAACATTTTTTTGGAATGGTGTATTCCATTCCAAAATGAGTGTCGGTGTCTCATTCCAAAATGAGACACCGACACTCATTTCTCTTGAGTGGAGCATGCCTATTTAGCTTTAGTGTAATTCCAGTTTTCCAAAATGGTGACAATATATACTCTACCAGCGATATATGGGAGTTTTAATTATCTTCACTGACTCTTGACAATGCTAATCTTTTCAATTTAACTCATTTTGGTTGGTTTGTAGTAGTAGTAGATCATTGTGATTTGAACTACCATTACCTTGGTGAGTAATAATGTGTGTGTTTTCACTTGTTTAGTGGCCACTGTGAATATCTTTTTGGATTATGTGTTTGACTCTTTTTAATTTTTTAAAATATAATTGGAGTGTTAGTTTTTTTCTCATTTATTTCTTTCTATAATCTAAATACAAGTATATGTCAGACATACACAATGCTGGTGTTTTCTTCCAATCTATGGCTTGCCTTTTTATTATGAATGATTTTTTTGTTTATTTTTCTAAAAATTTTTTTCAATTGATTTGACATTCATTATTATTTTATATTAGTTTCAAGTATGCAGCATAGTGTTTAGACATTTATATATGTGTAATTTAGGAAGTGATCTCCTACTAAGTCTAGTAATAAGTAATAAGTACACACCTGGCATTATACCTAGTTGTTACAAAATTATTGACTATATTCCCTATGCTATATTTTACATCCTTGTCACTATTTTGGAACTACCAATTTTCCTTAATCCTGTCACCATTTTTACCCAGTCTCCCAACCCCGTCTGATCAATTATCATTTTATTCTTTGTATCTATGAGTCTGTTTTTTTTTTGTTTGTTGATTTAATTTTTTTAGAGTTCACATATAAGTGAAATAATATAGTATTTGTCTTTCTCTGATTGGCTTATTTCACTTCGAATAATACCTTCTAAGTGCATCTATGGTGTCACAAGTGGTAAGATTTCCTTCTTTTTAATGACCAGGTAATATTCCATTGAATATAGGTACCGTGACTTTTATTCACTCATGATGGGCGCTTGGATTGCTGTTACATCTTGACTATTGTAAATAATGTTGTAGTGAACATAGAGTTGCATATATTCTTTCAAATTTATGTTCTGGGTTTCTTCAGATATATAACCAGAAGTTAATTATTGTGCCATAAGACAGTTCCATTTTTAATTTTTTGAGGACCCTTCATGATGTTTTTCATAGTGTATACACCAATCTGCTTTCCCATCAACAGTGCACAAGGGTTCCCTTCCTTCCACACCTGCACCAACGCTTGCTATTTGTGGATTTGTTGATGATAGCCATTCTGACAGGTGTGAGGTGTTACCTCATATTGATTTTAATTTGCATTTCCATGATGATTAGTGACATTGAACATCTTTTCATATGTATATTGACCATCTGTATGTTCTCTTTTGAGAAATGTCTATTCAGGTCCTCTGCCCATTTTTTAATTGGATTTTTTTGATATTGAATTGTCTGAGTTCTTTATAAATTTTGGATATTAACCTCTTATCAGATGTGTCATTGGCAAATATGTTCTCCTAAGGAATGAGGATTCTTAATGGTCAGTAGTCCTTGCTATAGAGGCTGTTTTTATTACAATTTCTCTAACCTGTCCAGTTAATACCATCAGAATTGGAAGAAATTATTTTTATTTAGCATTTTATTTAACTAAGTTATTCTTTATGTTGATTCTTTTGATATTGTTAATATCATTTTGAACTGAGTCCACTTTTCTTTCACATTGGTGAGCAAGGAGATTATTATAGTTCATCTGTAGTTCACTGGTGTACTAGAACTGTATACTAAGTCGGTTTAAAAACACCAGAAATGCCAGAGAAATGTCAACAAATTGGAAACAATCCAAAGAAATGTTAAAAAAATTCTTTTTTTTTCCCCTAAAATCAGAAGGAAAGACTGAAGTAAATATAATTTACTGAAATGTTGTAGTACAAAAAAAGGGACAGGTAAGTATATGTAAATACCAATATAGAAAGGGAGTATAGATTAGGATCATTATTTTGAAATATCCAGATTATGCATGGATAATATTTACTTTCTTCAAATTCCTCTTATTTGGAGGATGCTTATTAGTTATTATGCCTTCTGCAAACTCTAGGGCAGGGACAGTATCACAGGCTTATTGCTCTCTATTTCCACATCTGTCCTGTGGTTCTACAACCTTATGCCAACCCTTAGTGCACTTTTGAAATCTGTGCACAAAACCTGTCTTTCCTACTCATAGCTTCAATCATCCTGGGCTGGTCTCTCATCAGCTTTGTCATCTGGGAAATTCAACCGGCATAGTTTTCTTAAGTCCAGTTCCTGGCATTATCTTGAGCAGTTTTAGCATCTTCAGTAATGACTTATTTAATCCCTTCATTGAGTGATCTTGGGAATCACAAAACCAGAGTTTGAACTTCATTTTGTCATATAGTGTAACATTAGATAAGTTGTCTGACTTCAATTTTCCTCCTTGTAAAATAGGGAAAAATATTTTTTAAAAGGTAGTTGTAAAGTTGTAAACTGATGGTAGAAGCATCACACAAATTATATGAAAAACCATGCCATGGTCATTTAAAATATTTAGTTATTGATGTTTTTATTGATTTATTGATTTTGAAGAGAGAGAAGGAGGCAGGGAAGAAAGGAGGAAGTGAGGTGGAGAGAGAGAGAGAGAGAGCATGAGAGAGAAATGATTCGTTGTTCTACTTATTTGTGCATTCATTGGTTGCTTCTTGTATGTGCCAAGGGCACATATCTGCAACCTTGGCTCATCTGGATGACACTTCAACTTACTGCACTGCCTGGCCAGGGCTCCGTGCTGTAGTCTTATTTAAATGTCTATTTATAGGTGAAAAAGCGAAGGTACTTAGGAGTACAGTGTACAGCTCTGAGTTCAATGTTTCAGCCATTAAAGTGGAATTTCCTTCATGTGAGGGAATTCATGAATTTTCTAGAAGCATAATT